CAGAACACCAGGTGGCTCACCAGGATCATTTATAATTTTCTGGGTCAACACCCTCACATCCTCACTGATATTTCCAACACATAGCTTGTCCCACCTGCGTGCACTTGAAGCACAAACCCCAACACAAAAGTTATATGTCATGTGATGTGCCAACTTAAGCATGTTTTTCCTACCATTTTGATTTATCCTTGTGACACAGTAGTAAATATTAGAAAACTGAAATTTACCACAAATGTCAGATAAATGAAAAATGACTTAGCCTTAAAATAAACCTGAATGATCTTGGCCAAGTAGGGTAGATGACATGAGAATTGCAAAGCCCTCACATTGCCTTGGTAGGGTCGCAAGCCACCTTTGTGCACCAAAACCCATGTCGGAGGCCCGGAACTTAAGTAATGGCCAGCAGAGACTGTGAATGTTACTCTCACCATATTCAGTATGCTTAATCCAAGTAACCTACGTTACCACATATTAACAAGCTAAAGTCGCATTCTAGTTAAAAGAAGAAACATCTACCTACCAGCTACAGCTACCAACCATCAGAATTTCTTCACTACTTATGAAGCACACCTTAATTGATTATTTTATTTAGTTTTTTTTTTAATTGGAAAAAATTATCTTATTTGGGAAAGTTAGGATATCGTTATTTTGTGTTTTGGTTTTCTTTCATTGTACTTATTCAAAGTTTGAATTTCTATCTTGTGTTGAACTTTGCTCCTATAACTAGGTTTTAAATTTTGGAAAACATAATTAGATAAGACAAAGAATGGAAATCGTTGAATTTTCCACCATCATTCGACTTTGCTTTTATAGGAGTTTATACAAACTTCTTGCAGTCTCTATTCTTGAGCTTCATTTGACTTTGCTTTTATAGGAGCTTATACAAACTTCTTGCAGTCTCTATTCTTGAGCTTTATTGGTTTTATAACAGATTCTCTTTTTTCGGTTTCTTCAATGCTTATTATCATCCTGCATTGGTCTGTATATACTATGTTCATTTTATGGGCATTTGATTCTTCATTTGTTGTTATTGTCATACCACCATAATCACGAAGACATATAATTGGCTTCCCCGAAAGAACAAAAAGATATGTGACAAGATAAGCAACTCGTGGAAAGGCCACATACTGCCATATTTGGAATATAAGAAAGTCATATATTCCCGACATTTATATAAAAATGTATCACATCATCGCATCAGTTTTAACACATTAATTGTGAAAATATTTAGCATTACAGTACAAAATTCGAGTTCGAGTTTGAACTCAAACTCGGTACCTGAAATTGGAATTCGAGTTCACATAATCATGTTTTAGTCGAGTTTTATTCAAGTTCGAGAATACAAGCTTCAATCGAATTCGAATATTCGAGCTTCAATCAAATTCGAGTATTCTAGCTTTAATCGAGTTTGATTTCTACTATGATCGAACTCGACTTGAATGAATACTTGAACTACTTGACTCGACTCGACTCGACTAATGCCGAGCTGAGTTCAAACCAAAATCGAGCTGCTCGACTCAATTTTAACCCCTAGCCCAAGGCTTAATAGCCATATCTCTATTGGAAATACATCCAACAAACATATGTGGTGTTCTATTTGTCACCATCATTCGGCTTTGTGTTTGTAGAAATGTATACAAACTTCTCACAGTCTCTATTCTTGAGCATTATTGGTTTCATAACAGGTTCTTTTTCTTTGGTTTCTCTAGCATTTGTTATCATCCTGCACTGGTTTGTGTACACCATGTTCTGATGTTCATTTTATAGGCATTTGGTTCTTCCTTTGTTGTTTATCGTCATGCCACTATAATCACAAAGGCATATAATTGGCTTCTCCAAAAGAGCAAGAAGATCTGTGAGAAGATAATTAGCTCATGGAGAGGCTAGGTATTGTCATATTAAAAGTATAAGGAAGTCATATATCTGTAACATTTATATAAAAATGTATCACATCATCACATCAATGTTAAAATATTAATTGTAAGAATATTTAACGCTACAGTATCAAATTTGAGTTTGAGTTCAAGCTTGAAAAATCGAGTTCAAGCTTGAAATCGGTGCTTGAAATTGGAATTCGAGTTTATATAATCAAGTTTTAGTCGAATTTTATTTGAGTTCCATTATTCGAGTTCGAGAAACAAGCTTCAATCGAATTTGAGTATTCGAACTTTAATCGAGTTCTACTTTGATCGAACTCGACTCAAATGACTACTCGAACTCGACTTGACTAATGTCGAGCCGAATTCGAGCCAAAATCGTGACGACCTTAAGCCATTCACGAGCGACTCGACTCGATTTTCACCCCTATCAGGAACCAAGGGTAATGACCTTCGCGATCGGCAACAAAAGACTCGTCACTCAATTGGTCCCTCATCACGCTTATAAAGGCTTTGTTGGCTAAAAGATCATGAGCTTCGATAAATGAGTCACCACCTAGGAGGATATCCTCCCGATTAGGGAGGGAGGTGCACACGAGGGGAATCTTTGAGGCCCTAGGAGGTCTCAATAACAAGTCACCACCATGGAGGGCATCCTTTCGGTTAGGGAGTTGGGTACTCATGGGGGAATCTCTGAGGCCCTGGGAGGTCTCAATAACAAGTCCCCACCTAGGAGGTATCCCTCCCGGTCAGGGAGGTTGGTGCTCACATGTGGAATCTTTGAGGCCCCAGAAGGTCTTGGATGAGAGACATTCTGAGGGGGCTTCGTCAAGGCCCTGAGAATGCGTTGGTGCCTCCTTTGGCGGGTGGTAAACATGGTCAAACACACAACACTTTAGACACTACTCGACTTCCATTCATAAACAACTTCGACTTCATCAACTATGCCGAATATACTAACTGTAAATCGATGAAGTATATGACTATCGACATCGAGCTCCACACACACCCAGACATAATCAAGCTAATTGAGCTCATAAGTCGATTGGTTGCACCATAGGGGGCGGCCAACTAAACTGGATGCAAAGCCTAAACCCTTATGCAATCAAAGAGCAGAGGGCAAATCGTGTAAACGGATCCAAATAGAAACTTTTTTGATCCGAGAAGCTCCAAGACATTCAGTAGGCTGCCGTTGCCGGAGGATGATATGCTTCCCCTCAAATAGCCATGGGCCATCCATTAAAACTAAGCGGATTGGCATCTTTGTCCTTGAAACGAAAGAAAAAATCATCCCCAACTGACTGGACTTGTCGAAGTCTATAAGAAGTCCACACCCTTGTGGCTATAGACTTGACAGTGGGATCATTCTTCTGAAAATTAACCTAAATCAAATAAGATTTTTTCTATTGAAAATGAAAAGAGAAGGACTTATTTTCTGTTATCCTATTCTATTCAACTCAAAACATTTAGATTATATTTGTTAATTTAGCTAAACACCCCCCACAATAAAAGTTTAAAATTTACTAAAGCACCCCAACCAGCAACCACCATCGGCTATTGTCGCTACCGTTAGCGGCTACCGACATCTGAACAATGCACGGTCAGTCAAATTTGGCCGATCGTCTGCCGATCTTACTATTTCCTACCAAATCCATCATGGATCTGGCCGTTGCCGTCCAAACTTTGGCTGTCAACATCGTTGACGAAGGCCAAATTTTGGCCATCCTTGACAGCTTCATTTTTAGGGGTGTTTTTGTTAATTTTTAAAGTTTTATTGTGGGGGTGTTTTGCTAATTTAACAAATATAGGGGGTTAAAATTATCTAAATATTTTCAAAAAATGTTTTTCAAAAATATACCAAACAATTATTCGACATTTTATCCAAATCTGATATAATTTTCAAATATTATATCAAACACATTGTCAGAATTATATCCTATTATATTTAATCCAACTCAACTCAACTTAAAATGGTTTTTCAGAATATCATATTTCAAATAACTTACCAATCAAGCCCTTTAGGGTGTGTTTGTTTTGTTATTTTGGGTATGATTTTTGAAATTCTACCCAAAATACATATTTGTTTCCTATTCTGAAAATCCAATTCTATTTAATTCAACTATTTTTAAACCTCCTAGGTTTGTTAATTTAACTGAACACCCAAAAAAGTTTAGAAATTGACAAAAACACCCCCACCTATTCACATTTGCCAGATTCTGGCCACCACCACCTAAAGGTGATCAGAATATGGTGTAATAACGTACTATTGGCTTGATCTAGCCAGTAGTGCACCGATCTAACCTTTTCCGATCAGATCCACCATGGATGACCAACTACGACCAGATCTTGGTTGTAGATTTAGTATTTTCTGACCAGATACATGGTGGATCTGGTCGAAAAAGGTCATATCAACATACGACCAACCAGATCCAATCGATCGTGCTTCATTACGACGACTTTCAACCACCCTCCAGTGGCGGTGGCCGGCTGGCGACATTTAATTGATTGGTGAGGGTGTTTTTGTTAATTTTTAATATTTTATTGTATGGGTGTTTAGCTAAATTAACAAAACCATTGAGTATTTTTATTAATTTTCAAATCCTACCCCATAATAACCTCCAAACTCAACTTTTTCAAAAATTTACCAAGAATAACCACTTATATGATTTTTTAATCACTAGATCAATATATAATATAATGTAATGTATTGCTACGAATATAGAGTGTAAATGCCATATCATCCAATTTAACACAACAACACAGAATATCTAAACGCAGCACAATCTGAGATGAGTATGCAAAATCGAGAATGTTGTTTAGAATTAGATCTTATCTATTGTGCACTTTCGTTAATATTCTTCTATTCTTGTCCACGCGTTGCTCCATCTAGCTGCCACAACTCATCTACAATATCAGCAGCATTCGGCAAACGTAATATTAAAAGTTGAAAGTGAAGGAGAAGGAGAAAGAAAAGACCAAATCACACATGCATTGCTGGCACTCCTGTCTCCTCCACGTGTAAACCTTTTGTCCACTTCTTACCATCTCGTCCACCCACGTGTTAAGTCTTACCTCCTCTTTAATCAGAGAGATTCACGCTCTCCTCTATTTAACATCCACCTGAAATTCCTCTCGTAACACATATTTCACTTCCACTCTCTCTCTCTCTCTTTCTTTCTGTATTGACATACACGTAACACAAACGTCATTCATGGCTTCCCACTCCCAGGACCTGAAGCAACGTATCAAGGATGGCCCGGCCGACACGCCCACCCCGGATAACAACTACACCAAAACCAAACGAGAGAAGAGAACGGACATGGCCAAACGTGGCCTTAGATCGTTGTCCATAGCCGTTGCTCTTCCTCTTGCTCTTGTCCTTTTTGACATCTATTATTTCGGTTCAAGTCGTAGCTATGTCGCCCTCAAGAAACCACTTTGGTTCCCTCCTTTGTGGGTAATACACACAGCCTGCATGGCTTCGAGTTTCTTGATGGGTCTGTCGTCGTGGCTTGTTTGGGCTGAAGGTGGTTTCCACAAGAACCCAACGGCTTTGTCTTTTTGCTTGGGTGAGCTTTTATTGAGTTTGGCTTGGCATCCTATTGTGTTGCATTTGGGAGCCAATTGGGTTGGGTTGATTTTGTGTTTAGCTATGTTTGGGGCTTTGGCTGGATGTTGTCAGGCCTTCAGGGAGGTAAATTAGCAGCGATCTTGAAGCTTTACACAAGGAACCTTCACTCTCAACACCTATGAAGCTAGCAGCAACATGGAAGGTATTCATTGTTACTTATCTTCATTGACTGAATGTGAAACCTGGATCCTAGACACAGGAGCAGCCATCATAGTTCCTTGTCTTGATAAGCTAGTGGAATTAGTTACACCAAATCCACCTCCTTCTGTCAAGTTGCCAAATGGACACACTTCAATGGTCCTCACATAGGTTCCTGCCACTTGAATCAACATTAGAAGATTAGCAAGTGCTTTATGTACCAGCGTTTAAATTAATCTGATATCCATTGCTAAGCTAACTAAAGACCTAAGCTGTTTTGTGAGCTTTACCCTGACTTTTGTCTTCTCCAGGACCTCTACAGTGGACAGGTAGGGGATTAGTAAAGAGGCTAAAGGACTTTACTACTATACCTTCTTCAGTTCCATATCCACAAGATCAAGTCACTCAACTGTCGCGAGCTTACAATAAATGTTTAAATTCACTAGTTCTACAATAAGCATGTGAAATCTTTAAATTCATTTGTCATTTTGCTGATGTTGAACTGTGGCACAAAAGGCTTGGACATTTTCTCCTGCCAAGCTAAATTTTTTCCTTCAATAAAAGTAAATTCACATTTGTCTTCTTGTTCTATTTGTCCACTTGCTAAACAAACGAATGCCCTTCCCTGTTAGCACATCTAAAATTTCACATGTATTTGATCTTGTTCACTTAGATGTTTGGGGCCTTACCATCATTCTACACATGATGGCTATAAATTCTTTCTTACTGTGGTGGATGATTACAGCAGAACCACTTGGACTTTCCTTATGAGGCAAAAATAAGAAGTGCAGAATAGTTTTCTACTTCGTCAAGGTTTTTGTTCAGATAATGGAACTGAGTTCTTCAACTTACAGTGCTCAGAATTATTTTCTTCCTTGGAATACTCATCAGAGTTCGTGTATTGCCACCCTCAGCAGAATGGAGTGGCCGAAAGGAACAGGCATCTTTTAGAGGGTGCCAGATCTCTGAAATTTAGGCTACTATTCCCTTAAAATTTGGGTGATTGTGTGCTTATAGCCAGATTTGATTAACAAGATGCCTTCTCACTCACTTCAAGGAAAGACTCCTTTCACCTAAGAATCTTTGAGGTTTAGCTTATGAACTAATCATATTTGCAAGGACAAGTTTGTACCAAAGTTGTTCCATCAGTGTTTATGGGTATCTCATCTACTCAAAGGGTTACAAGCGCTATGGTCTCTCTACTCAAAAATTCTTGTGAGTAGGGATGTAAGTTTTTGGAAGATAATTTCCATTCAGACTTTGCTACCATCTACTCCATGATTTTCTCTCTTAATGCGACACCCCCCCCCCCCCCACCCCCCAAATGATGTTCCTGATATGGATTTTCTTCATTCAATCCCACTCCTGATATACCAGGAACATTCTTCTAATTCTTTTCCTCACCAAAAGATCCCCTCTCAAACTTATAGTACTGATATTGCACCAGTGCCTCCTGCTCCTAACCTACTACCATGACACCATACCTCTTCAAGGTCTACAAGGCAAGCCAAGCCTATATATGGCTAACTAGCTTTGTTTTCAACTTACGTCAGTATGATATTCAAGTTACATTGCCTACTCACATTTGAATCCACCTATCAATGTTTTTTGTCTTTCTTTCCAAAGTTCCTGAACCCAATAGCTATGAAGAGGCATTCAGAATTTCATTGGATAGAAGCCATGAAAACAGGAATTTTAGCCTTAGAAGCCAATCACACCTGGCAGCTTGTTCTCTCTTCCACCTGGCAAGCAAGCCAGGCTGCAAGTAGGTATATAAGGTGAAATATAATTCAGATGGCAGCCTAGAAAGATATAAAGCCGTTTAGTGGCTAAAGGGTCTACATTAGAAACCTGGAATTGATTTTTAAGACACATTCTTCCCTGTTGCTAAGATGGTCACCGTGAGATCAGTCTTAGCCCTTGCTGCCATTCACTCTTGGCTCTTTTCCAGATGGATGTCTAATGCCATTCTACAAGGGGATTTATATGAAGAAGTTACATGGAATTGCCTAAGGGATTTCGCAATTAGGGGGAGCATAGGGTTGTAGACTGCTCAAGTCTTTATATTGTTTAAAACAGGCTAGTAGGCGTAGTGGAATCCAAGTTAACAGAAGCCTTAACCAAGCATGGATACCAGCAGAGCAAGCCTGTTATTCAATGTTCACTAAAAGAGAAAATGAGAAGATTGTGGTATTATTAGAATATGTGGATGATCTTCAATAACGGTAATTGCCAAGAGATGTTTGCAACATCTAAAAAAGATTTTAAATGACAGCTTCAAGATCAAAGACCTTGGGGAGTTGAGATATTTTCTTGGAATAGAAGTGGCCAGGTCCAGGAAGGAATTGTGTAATCAAAGGAATATGCTTAGAATTATCTCAGAAGCTGGTTTAGGAGCAGCAAAACTGCCAAGACACCATTAGAGCAGAATTCTAAGTAACTCCTTTGAATATGATCAAGCCTTCCTCAGTCACAGAAGACAAGTTGTTGCAAGATCCTACTGTTTACAAAAGACTCATTGGAAAGCTACTTATTTGACTATGACAAGGCCAGTATAGCTTTTACGTTCAAATTTAAGCAGTATATGCAGCCCGAAGGAGTCTCATTTAGAAACAGCCTTGAGAGTAGTAAGATACATCAAGGGCAGACCAGGTCTTGGACTTTAATTTCAGCACAAAAGTGAATTAAAACTAAATGCCTTCTATGATCAGATTGGGGTGCTTGTCAAGTTAGCAGGAAATCAGTAAGTGGCTACTACATCAAGTGTGGAATCATTGTTTCATGGAAACAAAAAAACAGTACGTGTCTAGATCATCACGCTGAGGCTGAATACAGAAGTATGGCATCTTCGATTGCTGAAATTGATTGGCACTGGTCGTTAAAGATTAAACACAAAGGATTTAGCCATGTGCAGCTACATTGTGATAATAAGCGGCAATGCAGATAGCAGCCAATCTAGTGTTTATGAGAGGACAAAACATATAGAGATTGACTGTCATTCATCAGGGAAAGGATCATAATGGAATCATTGCACAAATTAATTCCCACAGGAGATCAGTTAGCAGACATCTTAACAAAGGCCTTGGGGAAGCTACAACATGAAAAGCTAAATCCAAATTAGGGGTGAAAGACATTTATAGGCGATGCCAACTAAGGGGGAGTGTTAAAGAATAAGTTGGCAGGATCAACAAGATTAATGAGCTGACTAAGTTAGTTATTTAAAGTAGTAAGAGTTAGTTACATTTTAGAAAAAGTTTGTTTTAGTTTGTTAGTTAGTTACAGGCATCGTATATAGTCATGTATTTTTCAAGGTTTTTAATGAAGAATGATTTCATTTTTTACTTTCTCTAGTATTATATATATTTTCGTGATTTCAAGCATTTGTGCGTACACCTGTTCATTTTGTGGATATTTGGTTCTCCTTTTTGTTTATCATCACGCCACCGTAATCACGAAAAGTATAATTGGCTTCTCAAAAGAGCAAGAAAAATATGAGAAGATAAGCAGCTTGTGGAGAGGCCAGATACGCCATATTAAGAGTATAGGGAAGCAATATCTGTGACATTTATATAAAAATGTATCATATCATACATCAATATTAATTATTAATTATGAGAATATCAGCACTTGAAATGGGATTCGAGTGTATAATGGGTCTAGGCAAGTTTTATTTAAATTCGAGATACAAGCTTCAATGAATTCAAGTATCGAGCTTCAATCGAATTCGAGTATTCAAGCTTTATATAGTTTGAGTTCGAGTTCGAGTTCTATTGTGATCGAACTCAACTCAAATGACTACTCGAACTCGACTCGTCGAGCCGAGTTCAAGCCAAAATCGAGCCGGGCTTGAGCGCGCTCAACTTGATTTTCACCCCTAGTCCAAGGCTAGTAGCCAAGTCTCTATTGGAAACACATTATCAAATATATATGGTTTTCTACTTGCCACCATCATCTGGCTTTGCATTTGTAGAAGCTATACAAACTTCTCGCAGTCTCTATTCTTGAGCATTATTGGTTTGATAACAAGTTCTCTTTCTTATTTCTTCAGCTCTATATCGTCCTGCACTAGTTTGCGTACACAACTTCATTTTATAGGCATTTGGTTCTTCTTTGTGTTTGCCATCCAGCCACAATAATCACAAGGAGTAATGGCTTTTCCAAAGAGCAAGAAGAACTATGAGAAGATAAGTAGCTCATGGAGAGGCCAGATGATGCCATATTAGAGTTTAGGAAGGTCTTATAGCGCGCACATTATATAAAAATATATCACATCATCAGCATTAATTTTAACAATTATTGTAAGATATTGAGCACTACAGTACCGAGTTCGAGTTCGAAATCGATATTTGAAATTGGAATCGAGTCGAATTTGAGTTCGTAATCAAGTTTTATCAAGTTCGAGAATACAAACTTCATCGAATTCGAATATTTGAGCTTCAATTGAATTTAGTATTTGAGCCTTAATCAAGTTCAGTTGAGTTCGAGTTCTACTGTGATCGAACTTGACTCGAACTAGAACTCAAAACTAAAGCTGAGCTGTGTTTGAGCTAAGTCGCTCACGAGCAACTCGACCGATTTTCACCCAAGTCAAGGCTTAGTAGCCAAGTCTCTATTGGAAACACATCCAACAAGTATATATGGTTTCGATTTGCCACCATCATTCGGCTTTGCATTTGTAGGAGCTTATACAAACTTTTCGCCATTTCTATTCTCTTGAGCGTTATTGATTTCATAACAAGTTTCATTTTCTTCGGTTTCTTTAGCGTCTATTATTGTCCTGCACGGTTTGCGCACAATATGTTGTTTTATGGGTATTGGTCTTCCTTTGTTGTTATCATCAGTCACCGTATTAATGGAGGCATATACACAGCTGTGAAGAGGCCAAATACTGTCATATTAGGAGGATAGGAAAGTCATATATCTGTGACATTTATATAAAAAAGTATACATCATCCGCTCAATTTTAACATATTATTTGGAGATATTTAGTGCTACATTCGAGTTTGAGAACAAGCTTCAATCAAATTCGAGTATTTAGTTATCGAGCTCAAGTTCAAGTTCTACTGTGATCAAACTGACCTCAAATGACACTCGACTCGACTCAACTAATGATGAGCCAAGCTTGAGCCAAAATCAAGCCGAGCTCGAGCGACTCGCCGATTTTACCCTAGTTTAGACTCAGTAGTAGCCAAGTCTCTATGGAACACATAGCAAATATATGATTTTTATTCGCCACCATCATCAGCTTTACTTTGCAAGAGTTATACAAACTTCACGCAGTCTCTATTCTTGAGCGTTATTGGTTTCATAACAAGTTCTCTTTCTTCCATTTCTTTAGCGT